TTGTACAGATTTATTGGTTTGGTTTGACTTATTTATTCCATCAGTAGTGCTTGGTTTTTATCATGTCCAATGGTTTTGTTTTCTTAATAAAATTCACAAAACTTATTTTTGGGTGTTTGTGTTCAGTGTTTAAAGAGAAGAGAGAAATGTTCGATGGTCTCTGAGTGTAACATTGAGGAGGATCTGTTGGCAGGGACTTATATAATGTTCACAGGTATGTTTTTATTAGCGATCGTTGTGTTTTTGTTACTTTAAAATGCTTTTACCTACAGATGTGAGAGGAAGGGGCCTCTGATGAGACGTTACAGATGTGTTGGTGTCCTTTGTTGTAAGAAGGTCTGACCTGTGGACCTTTGCTGCGTCTCTCTCGCTTTCTGCTGCTGTAACACCTCAATGTTACCAGTTTTCTGCCAACAAGCCAGAGTACAGTGCCTGCTCAGCAGTAAACAGCAGACGGGCACAGTTGGAGACTAAATGGTGAACATAGGAGCATTTATCAGCTAAAGAGACAGATATTTCCCTCAGGAAGAGGTGGAGACTAATAGAGGGTGAATATTGGACTCATCAGGTGCCACATCCTGCAGCTGCAGCGCCGCCGAAAATCTGACATAATGAAATTATTATTTGAAAAGGAAGGACTTTTTATGTGAAGATGAAACTATATCATCACTATCTTGTTGCTGCTGACCTGCAGAATTTCCTGGGTTTATCTGTGTATGTATATAAATAACTGTACATATATAGGTTTATTTTATTCTATTTTATTTATCTTTTATTTCATGAATGTGATTCTTTTTCTGTAGCACAAAGGAACTACTTTCATTTCATTTTACAACCTTGTGTTTAATAATGATTTATATATTTCCCTGATTTCTTGAATCCGTCCCTAGAAGGGTTTTTATGACAATAAGGTTAAAAAAACAGGAAGATAAAAGACAAAGATCCATAAAACACAGAATTTAAGACGTCAAATTTTTAAAAAATATACATGACAGGATTGTTGCTGAATTAAATGTTTTTATTTACTAAAAAGTTATAAAATGTGTGTAAAATTATGTTAATAACTATTATAGTATATAAATGATCCTCTATTTAGTATGACGTCATTATGTTAAAGCGAAATAAGAATAGCTACATTTTGACCTTATTTATTATAGTATTTATTTATTTTAGTGTTCTTTTATTGATTTAAGTCCTGGTTTTAGAGCCCGGAGCACTTTTATCTATGATAGAGATAAAAGTTTGTCTTTTGTCTGAGCTGATGTTATACTTTTGTCGTCTACTGCAAAACAAAACTACCCTCGGGTACAAATACAGTAACCTCGTATAGACCGACTTTCCCTCAGCAACCACCACAACTCTGACAGCGACGTCGCACACAGCAACAGTGAAAAGAGGAAAAAAATAAGCCTGAATCACCGAAGTAAAGCCTGGTTTAACCGATCATTTTCATTAATGTAACAGCTCTCTGGAGCTCATGAAAAATGGAGCAGCCTCTTTGTGCTGCCTGAACCTCTCTGGAGTAAACGGATCTGGGGGATGAAACTATAATGAGCAGTGCAGCAGCTAATGTACCACCGTCCTGTGAGCTAGAAAGAAGAAAGTCACACACACAGTTTCTTTTCTTAGTATTTCTATTGGACTGCTCGGGAATATACAGTACATAGAAAACAGTGACACTTTACACCACGCCAACATCTGGTTCCCAAAACCATTTCTAGACGGTGCCTGAAATTGTTACATATAAAACATTACACTAATAATTAGACGCATCACTTATAAAGTACACAATGTTTTTAAAGTCTATACAAATGGGCTTTTTTTTTATATTGAAACTTCCTTTTACAATGTCAATCTTATCAACAGGGCAGAAAAATAAAATGTAGTACACATAAAAGCTATTCTTTTTGTTTGTTCCATGGCACTGTGTACACATTTATCAGAAGGGAAGCCTCTGATTAGTATTTACAAAGACTCAATGGTTAGTCACATCATGTATTATTATACACTGTTACACTGAAAGATTCAATATGATCCAAAATTGTGCTTAAGAACAACGAGTCAAACACGTGTTGCTATACAGGATTAATTTAAAAGGTTTTCACGTTTTGGGAAATTCGCTTGTTCGACCTTCTCGTAGAGTCACATGAGAAAACTTTATACTCTATAGATCTGTGTGTTAGTCCTTCAGGAAATTATAAAACAACATAAAAATCAATGCAGAGGCAGAGATAAATCGGGACTGACGGTTGAACGATGTGTGGAGACGTTTGCCTCCAGTGCAACAGGTTGTTTTCACTAACCATACGTTGAATTTGAGCAGGTAAAATGATAAAATCAAGAAACGGAAAAACTCAAGAACAGACTCTCGCCTTCGGAGGGGAAGCTAAGCAAGACGGCATTCGCGCCATGTGACATCACTTGAGGCAATTTATCTGATTGAGGCGTGCTATGTGACATCACTTGAGGCAATTTATCTGATTGTTTTATACAAATTCAGTCACATATGCTGTAGTCTGGAAACAGACTTTGAGGTGTGAAATTGATGGAGTTCCGCTTTTAAATACAGTAAAAAGTTGAAAATATTTTAACTTTTATGCGCGTCTGAAAACGCGACTTGGCGAAAGAGAGGAACGGTTTCTAGCCGATGCACGAGTGGGATCGACCAACTAACAGTGACAGGAACAGCCTGGATAACCAGCAAGGCAGGCGGGAGGGACTGGGCGCGAACATCCATCTACCTCTAAATCTCACTGATATCTTGTTTGTTTAATACAAAAAACCGAAGCGTCAACAAGTCAATTCGCTGTTTTACGGGTTGTGAAACAGACAAAGTATAAATCATCTCATCAAACTCTCAAAGCAAATCAGCGTATTTCCCAAAACGTTGAAGATGTGCTTTAAACGAGGGCAGAATAATCCGCACTGACCTCTCCGATAAAGTCGTCCCTTTTGTTTAGAGTCGTAAAGTTAAAGCGCTGCGTGTTTTTCTGCTGAATCTTTAAAGTGAACAGTGCAAAAACTAAGTTAGTCGAGGCTTCTATAGTTTCATCTGGGTGACTTCCTGTACTCGGCGCCTTATACTACAGTAGTCCTACCTACACCTCTCCTCAGTGCTAGCTTATTTCCCTGTAGGAACATCACCGGTCAGCGAAAGATCGGAAATAAATAACAAAATGCAACAACTTCTTCTACGACGAATCCTCGGTGACTTTCAGATACGTGTTTTTTTTTTCCCGAGGACGTTAACCTGGATGCTGATCTCATCCCAAGGTCCATTTAGTAGCTGTTCTGGAGCTTTTGATCAGGTCCTGCGAACCCAGATGAACTCTGAATCTCACATTTTAAGCCAACGTTGACGAGAAATGCTCAAAGTGCTGAGAAAGACAACTGCCGAGGAAGATCCCGTGATCGGGATGAAAGCTCCAGAGCTCTTTAAATGGACCTTGTAGGGAGATCAAACACAAAAAATGTTGTAAAGAAAACTTCATACAAAAAACGTAAACTGACCTTTGAGTGTAAAGTCTGTGGAGTCTAGGTCCACTTACTAGCTTTTGGTGCAGTCTTCATTCGTATCTAATGGTCTTCTTCAGTAGATGGAGTAAAAACAGACGATTAACGCTTTAGTTTGTTGGTTGAACTCCATCCACTGAAGAAGACAGTGAGACGCAGTTAAAGCTCTGGAGGAGTGTAGTTTATAGTATTATTGGTTTTCCATAGGTTAACATTTAGGTTGGTTATGACGGAGTAAGAGGGCCAAAAGTCGATTGATTAGTACGTTGAATTAAAAGTTATATTTTGAAAAGAACAAGGTGTAATATTTCAAGTTTTCTTGAAAGGAAAAGAAAGTTGTTATATTTGAGGAATACAGTCAACAATAAAGTTTAAAGAGAGTAAATCTTTCAAGAATAAAGACGTAATATTACGAGAATTAATTCACAATACTTTGATAATGTTCAAAGATTAAAGTAGTAATATTATACATTATATTTTAAAGCTTCCTCGTAGTAAACAAGGCAACTTTTGTAGTAAGTAGTGTTTAATAAGTTTTAATTGAGTAATTTATGAATGTTTAGTTGTAGATAACAATAGATAATAAGATTTGACCGGAGTTGTTCCACCATTTTTGACTATTTCTGGAAATCTTTTCTCGAAATATTAGGACTTTTTTCCGTAAAATTGCAGCTTTATTCTTAAATTCTCCTCCGACAGTGGCCCTAATACCCGTAGGTCTATACGCTAGAAGAAAAGACATAAAACATTAATAATTAGTGACAGGTTTGACATGGCAGTATCGCTCTCTGATTGGTTCGTAGCCGCGCAGACGGAGGAATGTAAGAGGTGCTTCTTTTTCCCTTCAGTTTGATCTGTGCTTCATTGCGTTGCATCATTTTTGGGCTAAATAAAAAAACAAAAAAAACAACCTGAAACATCACTTCTGCTTAATTTAGAAAAACAAACTTAAATGCAAAAACAACACGTTAAAAACGACAAGTGCAGAGGACGAATTCCTTCTGTTATAAACATCAATATTGCACCAAAGCAGCATATTTGGACGAGCATTCTGCATTACAGTCAGAACAGTTTATCTTTAGAGGAAAGAGGGTTTAGATCAGGACAGTGGCTACGAGTGATATGCATAAATACAGTATAAAAATACAATATGGAAATATCTGATGGGGATTTTAATCAGGCGTGTCGGGGCTGGACTGTGGGGAAATGTAGTGGGAGAGTAGAGTGAAGCTTTTAAGGGGAAAGAGCTTTTCGGGAGCCTCTAGAAGGTCTGATCATCGTTGCAGGACTCCGTGGCGTGTCCGAAGGCCTCGCAGATGTCGCAGTAGGGCCTCTCGTCGGACGGGTTGCCGTGGTAGGTGGTGTGAGGGACGGAGTCGGGGCTCTGGGCCTGAGTGGGGCAGTCCTCTGTGTCGTGGAGGTCGAAGCAGTCGCAGATGTCGCAGAACAGACGCGGGGTCGCCTTCTTCTCCCGCTTTGACACACCTTCGACAAACCTGAGAGAGGGAAAGAGGGACGGGTTCATAGAGAGGATCTGGGTGCTGGTATTCTGTGTTTCCTAGTAACAGATATAGTTGTTTAGCTGCCTCAAATACTCACTAAAACACCAAATGTGGATTAATCCGCTGCTGAAAATAGTCCCCAACATGCACTAGTTCCTCCTGTTTGAGTAACGTTACAGTGAGCAGCTGATTTAAGAAACTACTGAGCCTTTTTGAAAAATTAAACTGTGTGTGTGAGGTGTTTTTAAAGCTTTATGTCCTCAGTAGGCGTTAACAGGTTTGGCGCCACATCTTCACAGAACTGGCACAATGTTTGTTTCTAGTTTGAGAGTCAGAAGTGTTCAGATGTTGATTTAATCTGCACATAATCCCTCCATAATTCCACAACATGTAGTTTTTACACCTCTGTTTCTGTGCAGATTAAACTAACTTTTTACCTTTGGACAGAGCCAGGTTAGCTGTTTACCCCCGTTTCCAACTATGAGTGTTTATATTTTCCATTAATCTGGTGTTTACTTATTATTGTATATTTGTATGATTTCCTATCCGTCTTACCCATCAGTCCCGTCATTGCCGTTGAACTCTGCCAGAGCGAGCTTCTTCAGTTTGATCTTCAGATCCTCGTTCTTCCGCTGCAGGTCCACAATCACACTGTTCAGGAAGTTGATCTGATGGAGACAATCAGGACACAGACCAGAACTGAGAACCCTGAACCCAAACTGATTTAATGGCAGCATAAAACCGTATTCTGGGATACTCTGACGGTCTCACCTGTCCCTCAGCGAACTCCTTCTCCTCCCTCAGCTGCTGCAGAGCCGCATCGCCTGCAGAAGGAAATCAGAGAACAGGTTGACAAACAGAATATACCTCTTTGCCAGAACAGTGCGAACGCTCTAACGGTCTCCTCACCTGAGGGTGGAGCTTCAGTGTCTTCTCCCTCTGAGGCCTGACTTCCCATGAGCCTTTGCTCTAGACTGTGAACGCGGCTCTGCAGCTGAGCTTTGTCTCTCTCCAACGTCTCCACGGCCGACTGCAGGGTCTTGGCCATGGCGTTTTCTCCTCGCAGCACCGCGATCTGCAGCAACGGAGGACGAAAGTAAATCTCTCACACGGCTCAAAATGAAGTTTCAGAGAAATTTATGTGCGAGTACCTCATTCCTCAGAGTCTCCAGTTCCCGGTCTTTCTCCGAGATTAAGGCTCCAGTGGATTTCTGGAAGTTTGTTTCTCCCGCTGGTCCCTGATTCGAGATGGTTTCTCTGTAGAAAAATGGAGAGATTCAGAGAGCGATAATATGTCGACTGCTGTCAAACTGCACCGGAGTGAAATGTGAGGTCTAAATAGCAGTGAGGAAGGAATCTGTTAAAGGTCTTCATCTGGGCTTTAAACAAACAATAAAAACACAAACAAATGTTTATCAAGTAAAATCAAGTTGTTAGCCAGTTTGCCTTACAACTTCTTTTTATTCCTCTTCACTTTGTTACTACATCTTTCTGCACATTACCGCCACCAACTGTTGAACACCAGAACAGCATGAAACCACTGATAAGACCACGCTGTCACTTGCGTGTTTGTACGTCCAAAATAGCAACAAAATGGGGACCAACTCATGTAAAACGTGGCTCCATAGCGCTACTAGTGGTCCACAGGGTTCCTTTAATATAAACTCATGTGAAAACATTTCAGACTGTACTGTGTCCGTTCCACGTTTGAAATCGACCTGACTTCACAATATGTAAATGATTGATGAAGTGAGAAGCCAAGGATTCAATATAAAGAATCATCTTAGCGGCGGTTCAGTGCATTATTAATAAAGCTGTGGATTTTACCACCTGCCTCCAAAATCAGTTGTATGAGCCCGATGCCACCCAGCTGATGCCCTGTCATCTCTGTTCTTGATAAATGAGACTGAATGTGAAGAAGCTCGTTTCACTGAATCACATCTCCTGTCTGTTTCTTGTGTACCTGAAGAACCTATTAATTCTGCTCTAATTGTACATCACCTCTTCATTTCCCTCTGGCCAACGCCACAGAGCTGTCAGCTGCTCTTCACAGACCTTCTCCTTCATCTGTTGCTCATATCTTACATCACGTACACGGCTTTGATCCACGACTGTCATCCTGCCTCGGCCGTCTATCATCCCCACTTCATTAAACATTCACTCTCAACTTAAGTCTCCGCTCTGAGGCAGCGGTGACACGTTTTAATCCTCCGACTGCCGAGCTGAGACGCGTGAGGCGACACAAAGTTTCTGTTTCTGTTCTGAGAAAGGGCTTAAAATAAGAACAAAGACAATGACTAGACCATAAACCATATCACATTTGAAAAGTATAAATCTAACTGTCCTATCAGATAAGTACAAGTCTGTCAGGAATAAATCCTCCGTACTCTTTCAAATCCTTTTCTAAAGCAAAAGTAGAAACACCATGGTCTAAAAAAAATTCCATTAGAAGTAATGTTACGCACAATATGTCATTTTCTGCCACTCGATGGTCTCTCACGTTAAAACAATAACAAAAGACGTAGTTTGGTGATGTTGTGAAGTAACGTGGGCTCATGGGAGTTGCTGTCTTCATCGTTAAAGAACAACCACTGCTGATGGAAACACTATCTGACATGACTCAGTCACATTCGCCGACTTCCTTCCTCACTCTCTGACATATCCTGTAAGTATCCCACGTTTACCCAGAAGTTATAGCAACTGGAGGCAACGAGAACATTTTAGATACTTTAGATACTGCCCAACCTTCAAGGGTTTATAAGACACCAAGTTGCTGTGATCAAACATTTGATTCCATTACAAAAGTTATTATACGACTCGGTCTTAAACTAAATATTCTGCCTTCTCTCTCCAGGGCTCAAAAACAACAACAACGGATCCTTTCCTGAAGCAGAGTTCAAGATTTTCCTAAAATTCAAGCCAAAAGAAATCATCAGAAATGGAGGAGATTTTACTAAAAAGTAAATGTCCTCCTTTATGTCCTCGTACAGGACAGCAAAACAAAAAGTGAACCTCAATCACTTAACAAGCAACGTCCGTCTTCCTCTATAGAAACTGTATCGTATCACGTAAGAATATCAGGGTTTATGTAAAAGTGTAAAAAGTAAAAAGAGGAGAAAGTATATAATAATACAACTGACTAAATGTACTTAGTTACATTCGTTAATTAATTAACACATATGTTATAAACTGCAGTCAGTCGATCAACAGAAAATTAATCCGAAACTATTTTGATAATCCATAAAATTTGATCATTCATCGAATTTCTCTGGTGGTCGGACAAAACTGCAAATCTGAACCGGTCACGTTCGGCTCTGGGAAATATAATTGATTGTAAACTCATCATCTTTGGATTTTTGACTGTTGGTGGGACAAAAACAGACATTTGAGAAAATAAATATTAAATAGGGGATTAAATTAGGGTGTTACTTATTAAAAGCTAGAGTCCAGTGCTGGAGAAACAATTATTAGCTTCAAGCCTTCACACACAAAGTGAATTTAATTTCACTTTCTACAATGTGTCTCCGCCACTATCGTGAGAAATGTGAGAATTACTCTCAATTAATAAAAATCTATGATAATAACTGAGATAAAGAGCACATACATATCGGGAACATATTAGTTTCTTACCTGGTCTTCATGTCTGGCTGCTGAGTGCTGCGGTCCTCATTGTGCTGAGAGGCAAACACACACAAATATAGAGGCATTTTAAATAGAAGCTAAACCCGTCTGAGCTTTAAGAGTTCCAGTCACAGCGGGAGGTAAATCCTCGCTATGCCAAAACCTGTTAATCAAATCACCGCTCCCGATTTAACAAACCCACGATCTATAACAGGATGAAGGGAAATGGTTTATATAATAAAAAACGCTGGAAAGGTCAGTTACCCCCTCGAGATGCTGAGACTTCTGGGAGGCCAGCTTCAGCTCCTCACTGAGGGGGAAAAGAAAGAAAGGAGAGGTTGACACACTTAAGGAGCTGCACTGAAGGCGGCGCCGTCAGGTCTCTGTCATATCTGTGATATCTGTGTCACCATTGCTGCTGTATGCTTAAATCTGGAGTCTGTTGAACACGCAGACACACAAGAACTGAGTGTAGTTTCACCTGCTCTGATTGTAGTTGAGCCGATGTATGTTAACGGCAGAAAATACATCAAAATTTTAAATATTTCAGATTTGATTATGAGCTGTAAAGTGCTGCTGCGTTGCTCTGTGAAATGTGTTCGACTGAAAATGTTCAAAAGCCTTTAATGGTTTCACTCAGAGCTGCAATGATTGATACATTAATTGATTAGTGAACTGTCAGAAAAATAACCATCAAGTATTTGGATGATCTGTTAACCGTTGAAGGCAATTTGTAAGAAAACTGACAAAATGTGCTATATTTAAGTAACTCAAGTATAAGAATTTCCTGCTTTCGTCTGTTTTATATTACTATAAATGGAATATCTGTGTTTTCAACTGTTGGTTGGACAAAAAACAAGACATCTGAGGATGTAACTTACACTCTGAGACTAAATTATAGACTAAACTAACTGTTTATTACACTGCGTACCACCTCAGGAAATACTCTACAAGTTAAACATACATACAGTTCATGCAGGAGGCAGGTTTATTTTACTTTTCATCCTTAATAGCTGCTTTAAATTAAATTTGCATACACTGTTTCTGGCCACATCAGGCAATGCAACAAACTGTTCACTGACATTCACACAGTACAGAGCAACATTAGCATTTTGTTTGGAGTCTGTACACCTGATGAAGTATTCACTCTATTTCAGCTCTGTTTTTAGACTCCTGAGGGAAATATCTGGCTCTTTAGCTGTGAAATGCTCCACTATGTTCACCAGCTGGCGTCTAACTGTGTTGAACTGCTGTTTGCTGCTGAGCAGGTAGTGTACACTACAGTGGGGTTTTTAGAGCTTTTAGCTGAAAACAGCAGGAACGAATGCTGATGAGTTGGTGAAAGTGAACCAAGACGCTTCAGTTGAGGGCCGTAAAACCAAAATCTATTAAGCAGAAAGACGCTAAAAAGCGCTGTAGAGTCGAGGGAAGCAGTGGGTGATTATTATCAGTGGTTCCATCATTATGTTTGAACCCCTTTCACATTACACCAAGTCATTTGATTCATTGTTAACATAAAAATAATGATTATAGCAGCTTTAAAGCAATCTAAGCCAATCAAATCAGCTCCTTCTGGTCAATTACTTTCTGTATTAGCATGTTAGCATGTTAAAAGCAGCCAAATGTTGATGGAAAAAAATCAGTTTGGACTACAAACATCCTGCATTGATTCAAAGATAACTGTACTGTATCGGCCTCACTTACACTGAAATAATCTACAGACCAATTCCTATCATTCAAAAAGCCATCTGTTGGTCTATTTCTGCTGCTTATGTCCTATTTTAAACATCTTAAAAGATTTAACAGCTGTACAACACAGCGGTTTATACACTCTGTGTCTAGTGATATCAGGATTATAAAACCGATGCCGTAATCTCAGCATATAAATCACATTTGGACCCAGAGACAGCGGCATAGACGCTGCCGTCTGGGAATTTATGAATCCGGACATTTTTGGATGCTGGAACCGAATAATTTGCTGGAGAAATCGAAATTAGCTCCATGTGGGTCGTTCTTAGGATTTAGCGTCGACGGAAGAACTCCGACGCCGTGTGTGACTAATAACCCGGTCTGAGCACCATCTGGGTGAAATATTCTGCTGCTGCCTGCTGTATAATTGCATTGGCCATGGCTCCACAGCATCCACTCCACTCAAACACAACAGGAAAGAGGCAGAGAGTTTAAAGGGAACACTTTTGAAAAGGGAGCCTGTCCATGTCTGTCAGGGTGTAAACAGGAACTCAGATGGACAAATACTCTATTCAAGCAGACAGTGAAGCAGCTGGGGCTTCGGCTTCTTCCACTTGTGAAACTGTTTCGTCTCAAATTTAATCTCCTTCATTACTGTAGGTTTATGCTCCATGTCTCACCAAACAGAAATGAATGTGTTTCTAAACACACACATGGAACCAACTACGAGAAATCTTAAAGCTGCACTAATTGAATAATGGATGTTGTGGTTTTGGAGTTTTCTTTGGTTGTTTCCTGTTTTATTTTGTAATTTTCTTGTGTGTTGTTTGCCCCACCTTGATTATTTTCACCTTTGTCTTGTTATCCTGCACCTCACCTGTGTGTTCAGTCTTTGAGTTTCTGTTTCATTTGCTAGTTCGTGTTTGATTACATGTGGAGCTTTCTGCCTGCTCACTTCCTCAGTTTTGGGATTTTCCTTTTTTCGGTTTGTTAGATTTTGGATTATGTCTGTTAACTTGCTTTATGGACCTTTTTGTTTTACCGCTTTAACTGCTCCTGCTCTACCTGCCTGCATTTGGGTTTAAATTCAAACTCAACTTCAGCGACAGAAATGTATTTAGTACCGAATCAGGTTCCCCAAAGGACGAATCCCCTGACTTTTCCCTCTAGTGCCACCATGAGGTTCACATTTATAGGAAATTCTTTATAAAAAGTCCTCAACAACAATAATACTATATATACACAATTAGAAAAAACATTTACCAAAAAAAAAACATTAGGTATCAAATAATAAGAAAATCAGGCGATTGTACTCAAAGCAGAACATTAAAATTGATCTAGTTTTTGTAGAGAAATATCTCTACAAATAGGAGATAGATTGCCATGACATTTGGTTAAAACATTTATGTTCCCCTCATGATGAATTGTAATAA